TGTGTCATTTCACAGAGATGGTGAGCCTTACCGGCTGTACAACTTGGATGTTTTTGCCTATCCACTGTACAGTCGTCTCGGACTGTATGGATCTGTGCCATTGATGGTGGCCCACAAGCCAGACAGGACTCTGGGTGTATTTTGGCTGAATGCATCTGAGACTTTTATAAACATTCAGTACTCCCCCTCTGACCATCAGGTGACCTTTGTTTCTGTGCTGTCTGTATTTTACAGTGACCATGAAGCAAAAAGACACTTTTCTACTGCTCAGTAACCTTCTGTCTCACACAGGATGATGAAACCCCTCCAGTTAAACGGAGGCGGGCTGAACCTCAGACCGATGTCCACTGGCTGTCAGAAAGTGGTATGATTGACTGCATGGTTCTGCTTGGGCCCAGTCCACAGCAACTTTTCGCCCAGTATGCTCAGCTGACAGGTGAGAACGTGGCTCAGAAATTATGGTACCCAAAAATAAAAAAATAAAATTAAGCTCTCAAAGACTCACACTTTACTTGTCTGTCCTCCCTGTGTCAGGATATCAAGCCCTGCCCCCTCTGTTTGCCCTCGGGTACCACCAGTGCCGCTGGAACTACATTGATGAAGCTGACGTGAAGTCTGTGGATGCTGGGTTTGATCGCCACAGTATTCCTTACGATGTCATCTGGCTGGACATTGAGCACACAGATGGGAAGCGGTACTTTACCTGGGATCCTGATCATTTCCCTGAACCAGCCAAGCTGCAGCAGCACCTGGAGAAGAAAAACAGGAAGGTCAGTTTTACAGTGCAAAACATGCATCATCTAGAGAAATTGTTTTGCTTTGATACGTTAAGATGTTTTCTGTTATATCTCTTCAGCTGGTCGTTATAAGTGATCCACACATTAAGGTTGATCCTTCTTGGTCCCTCTACTGTGAGGCCAGAGACAGAGGGCATTTTGTCAAGGACAGAGAGGGAAAGATCTTTAAGGGCTCGTGCTGGCCAGGTAATGGGGAAAAAATCTACTGTTTAATGCTAACAAATGTGACATATGCTGGACTTGTGTTAACATGTTAGCTGCACCAAGGTCCAGAATAGGATAAATATGATTTTTCTATACTGTGGATCATGCAGAGAGACTCTACAGTCCAAAAATAAATGAGCATCAAGGTCCACTTTAATAGACACTGTATGTACTTGATGTGTATGCGTGATGTTGTCATATGCATCTTCTTTGTAAATGGAGTTATGTTAACTTCCCTTACAGGCGAATCCTCCTACCTTGATTTCAGCAGTTCAGCTACTCGAGCATGGTACTCCAGATGCTTCAGTTTGGATAAATACAAAGTAAGGCTCAGAAGGGATCAGCCATGTTTAAACAGAAATGATGCATAATGCAAAGCTACTCAGGACCAGAGCAGAGCAGCAAAAGGCTGAAGAATAATTAAGCTGTGTTCTCTCCTTATGTTGTGGTACCCGTGAAATAAAACGAAACATTTTAAAAGCATCTTAAATAATTTAATGCTTTAGTCCTTGACAAAGATTTTATCTCATATTATTTGTTTTTTATCCACCTAATACTGAGATTGTCTGCTCAAGGCACGGTAGTGATGGTGTTTATTGATGATACAGGGATCGACACCTTCGTTGTTTGTGTGGAACGATATGAACGAACCATCTGTGTTCAGCGGCCCAGAGCTGACGATGCCGAAGGATGCAGTGCATTGTGGGGACTGGGAACACAGAGATTTACACAACCTGTATGGTTTTTACCAGGTAAGCAATCTCTTAAAGGGAAGGCCTGATGTGTTTTGTTACTTTAAGCACAAAAAAATCTGTTTTTCTTCTCTTGATGGAAAAATGTTATTTTGTCCTTCAAGTAACTCTAAAAGTACCTATCAACATCAAGAGTAGTTAAGTTGTGAAGACAGTTTTTAAAGAGTAAAGCCTCCAAGCCTATTCTGTATAATAAAAACAAAATAATTTAAAAAATATTTTTATTTAACAGCACATGGCAACAGTGGAGGGTCTAATCACTCGTTCGGGTGGCTTAGAGAGACCGTTCGTCCTCTCGCGCTCTTTCTTTGCAGGGTCACAGAGACTTGGTAAGCTATTTAAATGGGAAAATGAAAATGCTTCCATCCTCTCCATATTTCCACATATCCATTCTTAATTTGTTGTGCCATTTGTTGTAATTGGCTTTGTTTGGGATACAGGAGCAGTGTGGACTGGTGATAATGTTGCCAACTGGGAGTATCTGAAGATCTCAGTTCCAATGGTGTTGTCCCTGAGTCTGGCAGGCATAGCGTTTTGTGGAGGTGAAGACATTATTGTTTATGGATTCAATTATTTAAACACTAAACAGAATTATTATCGACTAGTCAGACAGAGACGTTAATGCTTCTTTTTCAGCCAACGTGTAATTTTCTTTTGTTGGTGCAGAGATATTAATGAAGTACACACTCTACTAGCTTTTAACTTAAATCTAGTTGAGTAGTTGCTTATATATTCAGTAAATATGGGATATATTACTGCATACTGTCATGTGCTGCTCTTTATCATTAGTCTCTGTTTTTGGTGTTTCAGCTGATGTTGGTGGGTTCATCCAGGATCCAGAGCCAGAGTTGCTGGTGCGCTGGTACCAGGCGGCTGCCCTGCAGCCATTTTTCCGCGGTCACTCTGCAAATGTGACAAACCGTCGGGAACCCTGGCTTTTTGGTGACGAGGTGACTGCAGCAATCCGCACTGTAATCCAACAAAGGTACTACTAGAGAGGTGTCAGTGTCAGGTTACTTGAACACCATGTATAGATTGAACATAACCTTTAGAGCAGCGGTCCCCAGCCCCTGGGTCATGGACTGGTACTGGTCTGTGAGTCGTTTGGTATCGGGCCGCGAGAGTTGAGGCTCAGGTGTGAAATTTGTGATTCTCAGGGTTTTTATCGTTAACTCTGTTTCCCTGTGTCTTTTCCCATGTTGTAGTTGTGTCTTATTTTGAAAGAACTATTTACGCGTCACCATAGCGGCCAGAGAGCATTAAGGGGCAGAGAGGAGGATGTTACTCTCAATATTGTTGGTGCATTTCAGGAGGACGCTGCTAATAAAGTTACACAATTACACAGTGAATTCGAGTTTATTATTATATTTACAAAATACCACAGTTTTTGTCTTGGTCGTATCATTTTATTTTGTTGTATTTATCCGCGACACCTTAAAGGCTGGTCCGTGAAAATATTGTCTTACACTAAACCAGTCCATGGCGCGAAAAAAGGTTGGGGACCACTGCTTTAGAGGACGGGTTGTGAAAAACATTGTTGGGATGTGACATTCGGTGAATCGAAAACAATGTTAGATCCAGTTCAAAGACAGTTTTACTAATGCCAGTATCGCTGTTATCGGACAGATGTGAGATGTTCTGACTAGTTAACTCGTATTGAAGCTGTTTCACAAAGTTTTACAGCCTCCTACCGAGTAAATAAAGATGGTTGCTTCTCATCCGGCATTGACAGCTGAGGTAAAGAGTGGACTGACAACCTGCCTACTGACACAATTTATTGCCAAGTGTTGATATTATTCAAATACATTGAAATATAGTGTGTACAACAATGTTTTTTATACAAAGAATACAAAAGACATACCAGCTGGCCACAGCCATTATGGGGTACACTCGAAATTGAATGTTTTTGATCTCTCTTGGTTGACTAAAACATGTTTGTCCTACAGCAGCCACTGTATGCATTTGAATTGAGAGTTGACTTCGGTCTGCAACCTACTGACCTCTAGTGGTGATAGTTTATATACCGTAGCTTTGAAGTAAATGTCAACATGAGGGACAAGATACAAATATAACATGTTTCATTAGTTTCTCCTGCCTTTGGTGAAATGCTTATTGTCGGACTATCTCATAATCCAGAGTCCATTTTGTCTGTTCTCAGGTACAGTCTGCTGCCCTATTGGTACACACTGTTTCACCAGGCTCACACGTCTGCGTTGCCTCCACTCAGGTTAGTCCTGGTGCTATCTACTGTTCAAATATAGCAGCTGCAACTACACCTCTGTTAACTTAAGTCATTATTACATCTGTGGAGACGAGATCAGGGGAACATCATGCTATTGATGTTCACTTTATAAGGCTCTCGTTTTAAAGCTAGTTTAACTTGGATGTGGCCTCTAATTCAATTTAAAACTATACAGACCTCTGTGGGTGGAGTTCCCAGAAGAAGAGAGCACCTTCAGTGTGGACAGCCATTACATGCTTGGTGATAAAAACTTTTCATCTTTGCATGATTTCTCTGTGTACCCTGGAATTATTGCACTTTCATTTTTTCTTAGTTAAACTTTCCTTCATTTTATGTAGGAGGAGCACTGCTGGCCTGTCCTGTAACTGAACCAGGCATCCAAGAAATCAAAGTCTTACTTCCTGGATCTGACGAGGTACTGTGTTATATATATTTTAATATCGTCATGTTACACTTGTTGTGGATGTTATTCACATTTTTGTCTGTTTTAGATTTGGTATGACATCCATTCTGCACTGGTATACAAAGGAGGCAGGACTCTGAGTCTTCCTGTCACCCTGGACACGGTAAGTTTAGACGACAATTTTACGTGTTATTTTTTTTAAGTCAGATGATCTGTTATCTGTCAGTTGACACTGATGTTTCCTCTGCTCAGGTTCCAGTATTCCAGCGCGGTGGCACGGTAGTTTGCAGATCAGTAGGAAGTTGCTCCTGCACTGCTGAGCTTCGGCAGCTCCCCCTCTCTGTTACTGTGGCTTTAAACTCTCAGGTAACTTGTGCAGGATACTGGAATCCTACACTGATGGGATCGTATTTCCATACTGATAAAACTAAATTTTTTTCCTGAGGTTTTACTTTGGGGTCCAGATGCTAGTATAGAAACAATTCCACCAGAGGGTGCCAAACGTTTGTGGACCACAAGCTCTATACAAGTACTTGTCCAACTTTTTATAAAAGCTTGTTTCTGCTGTTAAAAAAAAAAAACATTTTTGCCAACCGTAAGTCAAAATTTGGGGTCATTGTCTCAAAATTTCAACTTAACCACTTGGAATTTACAGTTAAGTTAACAAGTCAAAAATGTGAGACAATAACAGGAAATTTTGACTTATTTCCATAACAACCTACAACGGATTATACATCATGACTACTAGAAAAACAGATAATCAATCAGTGTGTTCTATTTATTTCAGTGAGAAATTCATAAATATCTTTCAGTCATGATTCAAAACTTACAGTTACAGTTACCTGAGTAAAAGACAATGCAAATAAAATAATGTACTTACTTATTAAAATGTTTTTTTTATTTTTATAAATTGTAAATATATATTTTTTAAACTTATTTCATTCAGTTCTCCCGGTCACTGTTATCTACTAATATTTAACTTAATTTTAAAAACATGATTTTACAGTCTCACATAGTTATACTAATAACAGAACAAATATTCAAATTCAATAATGATCATGTATTTGTTCACAATTACTGTCTATGTAAATCAAGATTTTCTTAATTCACTGATGTACACGTTTGCTAAACTGTCTGTGTTTACGTCATATTCATAATATTATGCAATGTGTTTCATCAGAGACTTGTGCCATGGTGCATATCAGTCAATTAATTAGATGCAGGCTAATAAGGATTTATTTAAATGCATTATTTTATGTAATTAACCAAATTCAGAACAGGACTGTGTGTAATGTATCAACTTGTTGCCTTTGGCTCATTTCACTGATATAATTTTCAGCCTTTTGGAAAGAAATTGCACATGTCTAAACTCTTTGTATTCAACAATGCTAATTAATGTAGAAGCTGTCTGTATACAGGTTTATTTCAATGCCTGCTCAAAGATTTGAAAGTAAACTAATACTTATTAAAATTGAGTTTTTATTATGCTAAATCTTTAAGCTACAACTACTGGGAGCTTTTTATGCAAATTGTGACATTTGCATCTTTTAATTAGTGAAGCCCTGACTGCAATCTCCTCTCTCTGCAGGGCACTGCTGATGGTGAGTTGTACCTGGATGACGGCCACTCGTTCAGATACCGTGACAGAAAGGCCTTCTGTCTGCGCAGGTTCAGCATGCTGTCAGGCCGTCTGCTCTGCCGGTGAGTCACATTCACACTTCCAAGATGGGCTCCAGTTTTATGCCACGTGTGAAAAAGAGAGACTGTTTGTCATGTTAAAATAACATTAAATATTTTTAAGAAGAATAACTCGTGACAATATGATTTACTGTTTTTGGTGCTGCTTGTCTCAGTCCTGCCAGTGAAGAAGGAACATTTGACTGTAATACAGTCATACAGTCGGTCACCATCCTGGGGGTCAAGAGCAAACCGTCCGCAGTGATTGTGCATGCATCAGGTAAGGAGATCTGGCATTGATGTAAGGTTTATGGATAACTGACATTCACAATAAAAGAAACACCCACTTATACCAGCATGACTCCAGAGAACAAGCCTCCAAAACAACCACCATCAAATAACACATGCAGTTATTGTGTGTCATGTTATTCTGGTTGGCTTTTGAGATATATCTGTGTATGAATGTGTGTTTTTAACATCAGTAAATAATTTAAGAATGCATGTTATTGTCCTTGAATGCAATTGGATTTTATTGCCACTGAAGTAAGTTGTGGCCTGTAAACAGTAAAACAATATTTAGTACCCGACCTTTCCTACTGCCTTCCTGTTGTCTGTTTAGTTTCGTATATTCCTCTGCATGTATGTTCTGCAGGTTTATTCCCTGTGGTACACACACACACATTATTTTAGTAAATGAAACCAGGTTATTCTAGAAAAACAACCAAAAAAGCAAAAAGAAAGCAAATGCACTTTTAAGTTATTAAAGTATTTCAGTTGATAAAGATTTTTTGTGAACAACATTTGCTCATTTTATATTTGATGTTTCAAAAAGTTGAGACGCAGGACAACAAAAGACAAAAACGTTGTTTCATGCAAGAATAAAAACACTCATTAACTAATTAGATTAACTGATGAAAGGTCAGCAATATACTCTACATGTCTCTGCCTCTCCCTGGTGGGAAGAAAAAAGTATCCCCCCTGCGTCTTGAAATCAGTCTACGACACAAACAATAAAATTGGAAATTCACTTTCAGCAATCCTGGTTCCACAACAGCAAATGTGACATAGACAACATGCACCAGCGTTTCCTTATGAAAACAATTAAATAATAAAGAACAGAACTGAGATTTAAACCTTCTTATTTCAACGTTTTGACGTCTGTGACATCCTGTAGTTCAATATCCTCCCTGTAAATTTGTCTCTAAATAAATCTTATGTGGACGGGTTGTTGGCTTTAGCTGATTGTGCAACTGTTGAAAAACATCAGTCCTAACCTGACTGTAACTCACTGAATAATTCACAAGTTAGAACTTGCGGCCCATGATGCTGTAAAACACGTGACAGTGGGGGTCATTTTCACAAAATTAATAACTTTTGAACTCCAAAAACCTGCTGCTAATATCAGGATCAGATCTATGGGACAGGGTCACTTCCCTGAGATTTGCAGATGTGCGTAAAAGTGAGCGAGGTGATGCTGTCTGTCAGTAAAACAAACTATAACAGGAATCTAACAGTCTAGAGCAAAATATGTATCTATTTTTTAAAGCTAGCAGCATTTTGAGCTGTTGCATTTTGACATAATTTCATATTAAACATAGAGGTTAAATAGCACAGGGGAGTTAATTTTGGCATGTTAAACTGGTTGTAATGTTACGTTTGTCTTCTGTGTCTGTTTTTCCCCCCACAAATCTCATCCTGTGATTGGGTAAAAACAGTACATAAAAAGGTACCAGATTGCACAAACACTTAGAAATCGTATGTTTTTAAAGGTAAAATTGCAAATAGGTGAGAAAGGGGGAAATCAATAATAGCATTAAAATACTCAGATAATCTATTGGTCAAGTCCAAAGACAAATAACCCAGTTGCTATTGCTAGTGGTTTCACCAATTTTCTTTCACTACATCCAGAAATAGAAGCTACATTTCTTCCATGTAAAGAAAAAAAAGACATTTAATATTTAGTAATGTTGCTTCAATTTCTGTCTCCAAGCTCATTTAAAATGGATTGTGGCAAATGGGAAAACTGTCCTGTCTAATGAGTTGTATCCTCGGCATGACAGAGGAGTAGACCCATGTGTTGTGTTATCAAATGCACAGTTCAGACGACAGCATCTGTGATGGTTACAGGGGTATAAGGGTTAGAGGAAATAAATGCACAACAACATTGACTGAATAATTTAACAAAAGACAAACTTTAAAGCTGATCAGACTTCACCAAAAAGTAAGAACAAAACCCGGGCAGCACACGGGGAATATAAATGAGTTTACATAGGTAACAGATTGCACAGGAACCTTGTTGAATCCATGCCATAAAGATGGTTTGAGTGTATGCTTTAATTACTCCAAAGGAGAAAAGAAAGCTGTAATAGAAACATTTGAAATCTGAGGAATTTGTTCCCTAATCTGTGTATCGATTTAAAAAAACTCTAAAAAGGTAAAACATCACCATTTTCCTTTTATCACCAGGTGCTAAGGACATTTCAGCTGCATTTCAGTACATGGAAACCTGCTGCAAGCTGACTGTGAACAGTGTAAACCTCAGAGTGGCGATGGATTGGGAAATACAGATATGATGATTGTGGACATGTCAGTGATGGAGTTTCTTCATCTGGATTTCTTCATCCTACCAAGAAAACATCCAGTTAAATTACCCATTTCAATAACGGTCAACTACAGAACTTGTCTGAATACATTTGATTGAAAAATAAATTGATAATTGTTTGATGGTGTGGATTCAGAGCTTATGCTCATTTCTGTGCTCTAAACAAAATCTTCACAAAATTTTAATCACTTTATAAAATAATATCCATAAATCTTTGGACACTGAGATAAATCCAATTTTTTTCTCTTTACCATAACCTATTGAAATTGTGGTCATGTGATAAATATGGACTCAAAGTGTACGGTCTACTGAAATTTGTGCAGTTATTTACATAGATTGCATTAACTACTAAAGAATCACAGCCATTTGTATAAACAGTTCAAATGCAATTAGAAATAAAAATAATTATAAATTAAAAAATTAAATACTTGGAAATATTGGAGATATCCACTGAATAGATGCTTTTCTAAGAAGAAGTATATAGTTATTTTTTAATCATCGTATGTACATTTTTAAATTCTTGTTACAATGTGTAGCTTATACACCAATTTTTTAAAAAGGTTAAATCTTATCAACTACAGCCTAAGTGCCTTATCTCCTTAATTTAGCTGAACCACAAAAGAAGAATCAGCGGCGATCATGGATATATATAAACATCAGTGTTTAGTCTCGAATCCTCTTAGCCCCCAAATCCAAAAGATTTGCCAGCAACAAAAAAGTAACGGGGAAAAACATTTCCAGAACAGTCAGGATATCAGAAGAACCCTGACGTTAGGTGACTATCTAAAAATATTTCTGTATTTAACTTCATTCATGCTGCTGTCCTATGATTACATGTTGGCACATGGTTTTCTTTGAGTACTGTACTTTATCTTGACACTGCCTTGTCCCTGTAGACCGAGCTCTGCTGACTGAATCCTGGTCTGAGAGGACAAATATTTTAAAAAAAATGCAATCTTTTATTTTTATTGAATGTTTTTAAACAATTATGAATTACAAGTTATTTTTAATTCTAAAGCTTGACTGAATAAATAGCGATGTGCAGCTTCTGATGTTGATGTTTCTAACTCTTTTATTGTTGCTGGATCTCCACCAAATTACTATGATAATTTGTTGCATGTGGTGCTCTGTTTATTATTTGTTCTGTTTAACGAAACCCAAATGATTAGATGGAGTTTTTACTTTTCCTACCAGAGCTAAAAACGGAACGCTGTCCATAGCGTTAGCCTGCTCCAGTTATGCTGAGACTGCTCAATGCTGATCTCCATTGAGAATAGGTTTAAATGGATTGAATGCCTTCTGCTGAGGCAGGGCATCTACGGACCACTCTTTACATGCCCTCTGTCGCGGCCCGCTGGCCTTTGTGTCACACAACAATGATGCCATCGGAGCGCCACTGCTGGGGAAAAATCATTGTTCACTTTGGCCAATGGGGACGCATCAAATGGACGTTTACCTGATATGCGAGTTTCTGTGCATATGTGTGTGTGTGAATGGTAATGCAAAGGTGAATGCATGTGAAGTGAACATCTCTTTCACACCAAGCGTTTGCATCTACTCTGTGACAAAGAAAGGGGGGGACGTCACACCAAGAGAGAGCCAATCACATATTAGCTGTTTGGATTTATGCCAGGCCTTTTGGCTTGTAAGACTTTAGTACAAGTGGCAAAAGCCAGTTTTTTTTTTTCCAAAAAAAAAGCCTGAGACACGATGCCTTATACGCCATCTGGCTTTTTTTGCGACCGGTTGATCCGGGAACGAGAGAGGAGAGACGGGGAAGGATCTCTGAACAAGCCCTTGCGCTTCAACGGCCAGGACTATAACAACCTCAGACAGGAGTTCCTTCAGAGGAAGACCTTGTTTGAGGATGAGACTTTTCCGGCCACTGTGGAGTCTTTGGGCTTCAAGGAGCTCGGACACAAGTCCAACAAGGTCAAGAACATCGTCTGGAAGAGACCCAAGGTAGGAGGGGGGACTCTGTTGGCACATGGAGAGGCACTTTGAAGTGGGGATGGACACATGGGAGGTGGGATGTTATTTTTGGTACACAGAAATGAAAGCTTCAAAGAGAAACTGTATTTTTCCGGCCTGAAAAAGGAATTATTTTATGGTGAGAAGTGTTTGCTGCTGTGGAAATTTACCTAGAGATGCAGATGGGATGAAATACTCCACACCAGTTCAGCTTTGAAGAAGCTGAGCTCAGTTTTCTTTATATAGCGTCAAATCACAACAACAGTCGCCTCAAGGCTCTTTATAATGTACGGTAAAGACCCAACAATAATAGAGAGACCCCAACAATCACAAGCACTTGGCGACGGTGTGAAGGAAAAACTCCCTTTTTGCAGGAAAAATGGAATGAATTGACTGCATTCCCAAACAAACTAGGAGGGATTAAGTCTGTTTCATGTTTTTTACTCTAATTTCTCTAATAAGATTGGTACATGTGAAGAATACTACACCCTTATGACACAGAGACATACATAACTGCTATAAGGTTAGTTCTTGTTCCATGTTTAACTGAAGTAAATTATTTGTGTTTATTTTCTGCAGGAAATCTGTGAAAATCCTCAGTTCATCGTTGGAGGAGCCAGTAGGACAGATATCTGCCAGGGAGATCTAGGTAAATTATGCTTCCTCTGGAATTTTAGGCCCACAATTAGATGACAACATCAGGCAATACCAGGTGATTTCTATTATGTGAAAATAGCATTTTAATAACATTCAAAAGGGGAAAAGGAGAGGGACTTGATTTCAATTTCTTTTTAGCAAACTTCACTCGACAGCTTCTGATTTTTGACAGGATTGGGGCAAGAGCAGATCCAACAGTCTCCAGTGACAGTCTTTATTAACAGGGTGGCAAAATATCCCAGCGATCCCCTCCACACGGCCTCTCAGCCTGCAGTGGCCTCCCCATATTGTGCTTACGCTTTTGGAAGGGAATCCAGGAAGCAGCATTTCTCATTGTTGTTTTGTTCAGACAGCAAATAAAGGGGTCCAAATGGGACAAAAGTCCTGGTAGACACTGTTAACCATTGAAAAACTTACATTGTTCACAGCCCTTTGCAGCTAACACCCTGCTACACACCTGGTAAAAAAAAAACAAAACAAAAACACGAGATCAGCACTCGGCAGCGACCTTTAACTCCTGGAATACAAGAAATGTTCAGGAGAGAATTTCCTGTCTGTGTTTCATCTGATTTTCAAAATTTCACTTCATATTCTTTATGTAGGCTGAGGGGTTTTTTCTCACAATTTTCACTGCACTGGAGAAGATTTTAAAATCAAATTTAGGAGTGGAATAACTGCTTCCAAAGACATAATTACAAGGAATTTTTTGTGTCCAGGTGACTGCTGGTTGCTGGCTGCTATTGCCTGTCTCACCCTGAATGAGAAGCTTCTGTACCGTGTGGTGCCCCCGGAGCAAAGCTTTTCAGAAGGTTATGGTGGAATCTTCCACTTCCAGGTCAGAGCCACCCGCCTGCAACCCTGAAATTATTCACACAATATACTTGGTTGAAATTTTTATTAATAATAACAATAACTATATTTGTGTAGCTCTTTTTAAAACACCCAAAGTGCTTTACAGTTTGCATAAAACCTCACATTAAAGAAAAGTGTGCAGGCCCTAGCATGACTGATGTACAACATTCATTCATTCCTGCATCCATTCATGAACCACAGCCAAAAATAATGAGCAAAATATCTGAGAGCCGATCAAGAGAATTAATAATATACTAATTAAGAACAATATTTATCCAAATTAAACTGAAATACTTGAGGATTCTATTCTCTACAGTACATAATGTTATTAAGAGAAATCCCTGCATCCAAGTGAAAAATCACTGCAAAATCAGGACCAGTGATCACAGTTTATCTTCTGTGGATGTTATGAAGTCAAACAAAGTCCACCAAGGTGATGCAAGACTCTAATGTGTTGACATCAACTTAAAAAACTTGCATATATTTTTAAAAACTTCAGATTTCCCATTCTTTTTTATTCATGTTCTCCACAGTGCCCCAGTTTATTTCGTCTTTTGTCAATACATCTTTGTAAAATCAAGATTAATGAAGCAAATAATGAGGCA